TACTCTTGTCGGAACGTATCCAACCGGTGCGACGGAAATGCCTCACAATCCCTTGGACCGTTGCCCTCGCTAGTCCAACTTCCTTGGCGATCATTCGCAAACTATTTCCATCAAAGAAAAGACGAATAATCTCCTTCCGAGTGTCTTCGTCTACACGCTTTGGCATAATAGCAATAATTTTATAGTCGGCGAGCAATTCAAACTTGAATCCAGAAACTACATTCAAAACTAAACTGTTCTCGCGATGGTAATTCCATTATATGCTAGGGGTGTTGTATTACATATTTGTATTAACAAGGTTTATTATATTATTGAAACGTTCAAAATAGAATTTATTTATAAATAAATAAATAAACGAGCATATCTATGCATGACATAATAAAGTGTCCGACAACAGCAATGAATAAAACATTGTTTGATAAATGTTTGACTGGGCGCTTACACGTTGTAATAGTTGAACCCATTTGAAAACCCGGACCGTTGTTTTGATTAAATGTCAAGTGTTACACAGATTGTTATACCTACAAAGCAATGGAATATCCCAACTACCCCTCGTTCCTCGTGCCCACACATCAAAAGCATACCGCGTTCGGTGTTTTGATTAACTGTCACGTGAGAGTGTGTGTAACTAGCAAAGTGTCTGGGGATGTTGCAAAGTCTCTCGGTAATTACCTAGCGGGTGCGCGAGTTAGGTGTATGTAAATATCTTGCGCTCGCTGTAACAAGAAGTTGAAAATATCACTTTTTACCAAAAATGACAAAAATATTCACCAAAATTAGAGAATTAAAGATATCATTACAAAATGAACAAATCTGAGAGAGGTCTACCCAAGGTGCATATACACAAAGTATCAAACTCATTCAGGCCTGTAGTGTTCAAGAAGAAGTCGAGAGAGTAAAACATTGACACAGACGTTGGACGATGGACGACGACGGACAATCACTCATATGATAAGCTCCGCTCGACAAAGTCGACAGCGGAGCTAAAAATGAAACTCGTTTTTAATAGAATTCATATTGCATAGCTTGGATGTACGTTGATCTCTTTCTAGATGACCTCTGTCTTTTTCAATTCGTAAACAAGTGATGAACATCGGGAATACAACCAATAAAAACATAGTTGAACTTTGATTATCTTGCCTTTTGTTGTGTTCCTTTGCAAGTGTAACAGATTTTATCACTCATAAATTTTACACTTCATTTCAATCATGTTCGAATCGAAAATCATAAAATGAACACACTTGAGAAGACACAATGTAAGCACTCAACGACTGACATGTAAAAACTCTGAATAATGGTTTGAATAAAGTTTGAAAAGTTTGATAAAATTGACTATAACAGGCTGATTAGAATCAGATTAAGAGTGATATGAATTCACAGTGCTCCATTAATCTTTTGAGAGTCATAATTTTTTCCATCCAGATTTTAGTGTCACATTTTGATTGTTTTTTTGTATTTTCTATAATTTTTACAAATACTAGACCAAATGTACATGATTTTCTATTTTCTATTATAAAAATGCAGTAAAAATAATCTGGGTTTTATTTTGTGAATGATGATACGAGTTGACTTTGGTGTTCAAAAGGTAAAAATGCTGAATAAAAAAAATAACAGAAAAACAAGAAACTGTCAGTCGAAACAGTTACAGTCATAAGTCAGTTCATTTACAGATCTCAACAGCATTATTGAGCTATCTGGAAGTTTTCAAAAATAATTTTTTGCCAGAAATGACAAAAATATCCACTGTGTTCAGTTGGGGGCTAATCAGTAAAAATAAACATTATACAAAACAGTCAAAATGTCTTTTTAGTAAAAATTAATTTCAGCTAAAATAAAGTATTTTACATTAGGTTGTTGTCCATTAGGTATTTATGTGTCACTGGGATTTAATTGAAATTTATTGTTGATTTTTGAGCCAAATGAATGCAAATTTTTCAGAATTTCAGATCAAACATGATCCTGTCATGCAGGTATGATCGTTAGAGAACGCATTTTAGTGATTATTGGATGACGACGAAATAGACAGTGTTTGACATAATACTCAAGACAAAAATACTATGTGATACTGAAACATAGCTGCAAGTACTCTATCGCTATCACATATTCTTCAAATTACATTAGAGTCGCATCCATATCCATGTAGTTGAAACAGAGGTGACATATCTGTCTGATTTGATACTCACTGAAAGTTACACATATTAATGCAAGGGATTCTTCACAATAGAACTAAATGAAAGTGATTTATATCTCAAAACGTGTAACTCATGCAGCAAGACATTATCACAATGCACCTAATTGGTACAAGTGTAATATAATAGTTTATGCATTTGTTGAAGCCTTCAGTAAATAGACATACCAAATGTGATTAACGTTACCCAGTTAGTTGACCTAAATAGCATTCATATTTAAGTATCTCACCCGGAAGAGACATCGCATTTACAAGTAACTGTGTCTGTTTCACCCCAAAGCATGGAGCAGAGAGACATGTATTAAATACAAGAAAGACATACCTGGCAGATATGGCATATTGCAATCAGATTGTTGGGATCCTGTATCACTTTCAAACTGATTAAGTAACTGAAAAACAATACAAATAGTATTAAATTGCAAACTCAAATATAAGAAATGCTCTTCTATGGAACACTTGGGGAAATCAATATGGGGGTACGAGTGAGGGTGGTTTTTTTTTATCTAAAAAGATTGCATTCTTACTTTTTTTCCTAATAAAATAATATTTATTTTTATGATATTGAATAGAATTATTTATTATCAGTATTGTGAAATGCACAACACGTGAAATTTGATCTGCAAATACTGTGATTACAGGTAGACGTAAACTGAAATGACAGAGAGAAAGTCACAGTGTCTTCAAGAACAAAACAACCTCAGTGAATTTAACCCCACAACAAAATTTGAGGATTTGTCTGACTCGTACTATTCTCATGAAATAAAAGCAATTCACACGAAAAAAAGGACAACAGAACTTCCTTGTTCACTACTTATACTAGCATGTAGTTGTATTAAATGGGCAAATATATGAAAGTACAGTGAAGAGCTCACACATGATAGGCTATATATAATAGGATATTCTGTAGTGGCATTCACAGGACATACCTTACACTGAAAAGCAAATAACTCTCCATGTGTTCGACATACAGTGTTGACTGACCCATTGGAACAAGTGACCTAGAATTAAAACAAAACTAAAATTTTATTCCAAGGATTACCGGGTACTGACTCTTTTAATCTTCTAATATAGTAACTAGGGAAGAACTGAATGAAAAACTATATAAGAACTAAATAAATAATATTCAAGTATATTTGACATTTTCGTCACTTTTCAGAAAATATTCAGCAAAAATTCTTTTCCAATTAAAAAAAAAAAATCATAATCTAGACCTAAAGCCAATGAAATTTTTTTGACAAAATTAAAAAAAAAATTGTAGAAAAATACATAAACATGTGCAAATAATCAAAGGGTTATATTATATATGAATATGTACAAATATGTATTGATTTTACTTGTACATGTAATTCAATGCTTAGTTGGTATTAGTCCGAGTTTTAAATAAATGCACAGTCACCGATGAGTGATACTGTATACCAACAGATTTTATTCACAAACATGAAAGGCATAAAAACGTATACAATTATTTTAAGAGGACAAATGAACTGAAATGCGAGAAGATTCACTATTTTTTCACTAATTTCTGATATAATATCAATGAATGATATAATTTCACTATTTTTTTACACAACATCTATTTATTTAGCGTCCTTTTAATTCCAACTCAACTGTGAGGGATATACTGTAAATTCTGTATTAGAAACCGCGGCTTCTATTAAAATGGTACAATGCAATAGAGGGGATGCGGCTTCTATTAGAGCATCTACACATATGAGAAATGATGTTTTTTTGGTTCTCAATTTTTCAAAAAGAATGGGTGCGACTTCTATTAGGGATGCGGCTTCTAATACAGATTTTACGGTAATGGAAACACACAATTCACAGTGCCATTAATTATTGGCTCTTGCCTTGTTCTCTTGCAGGTGAGAAAGCATTAATTAAAAGTAAACAGCCGCCATCAATGCATGAAATCCTGTATCATATCCTTCAGCATGGTTGCAGAACCCAGGTATGTAAACCGTACATAAATGTCATATAAATGATTAGATCCAACATCATTTTTTTTAACATAAGGCCAGACTTTTTTTATTCCTTGTTTCTAGAGTTTTTATAAGGCAAATTTTTTAAAGGAGGCGAAAAAAAATATAAAATTAATTCTTTTTTTCAATTAGATTTGTGTGATTCTCAAAGAATTGTAAGTGAGATCATTGATCAGAGAGAAGAAATGAAATAAAATTTTATTCCCGGTATAATCTTGTTTCTCATCTGTGCGAGACTTTGGTACTTTGATCATGATACTCCCACGAAAAAGCAACTTGGATTTGTTATGCGGCGGGTGGAAAAAAAAATGAAGATAAAAATATTTTTTTTAGTAATTTTTTGCACTTATAATTTGGCGGGTGCGAGAAATTACGCTGAAATAAAATTTTTATTTTTATTGTATTTTCGGCTCCTGATCATTCGGCAGGTTCGCGAAACAAGGGATAATAAAAGTCTGGCTTAAATACTTAACTACCAAATAGAATGTCATTTACTGTGAATACATACCTTAAAAATGTACTCGTAACGTTTATCTGAAGAACGTTTATTCAGACCTTCTACTTCAATATTCGTGATATATACTGAGAGAAAAAAAAGAAAAAAGTATTTCTCCATAAACCTTTGAGCCATTTATCCATACAAATCAATATCGATGATACACTACCACTAAAATGCAACGTACATTGTATCATTCAAGTATTTTCATTAATTGATAGGCAAGGACGTTATGAGAAAAGGGAACAATCAGGTCACCACCACTTGACGTGTTCAATGTCGGGTGAATATGCATCTTGATACATATAACAGACCATTTTTCGTTCACTGCGAGAACCTGTGTTATGCATGAAATCAGATGTAAAAACAAGGGAAACAAAGGTCTTAGCGTTTTAGTGGCGTCAAAACACGAACATGAAAGTATTTTGGGGGTATTTCCACACTCAATAATGTGCTATACACATTTGATGGTGGTATCTCATATTTCCCTCTGAAAGATTGTTATTTTGACATTGAACTACGGAATAAAGAAAAAATAAATTCCGGTTCCAAAATCAAATGATTTGATTTCTGTGGCAGACACTCTGCCCATACTTTTCACGCAATACACAGATCTCACAGTGAACGGAAAATTACCTATTTACAAGTGAATACAATCTTTCAAAATATGTAACAGACTAAATGCTCTGGTAAAACTTTTGGTTATGTTCCACAACAAAATTCAGTTCCACAAAGGCTTGATCGTGGTGCATTATTGCTACAATGGCTACAAGACACAGAACTTAAATTACATAATGCGTGACATGATAAACATGTTTGAATCAGAGAAAACATGTCAGAGATATGGTTCATGAACACAAATTTTTGAAAACAAAATGGCAACCAGTCGGCCACTTTGAATCTAATAGATTCATAAATGGCTGTCAAAATCTTGTTGAGAGTGAGAAAGCCACAACTCGATTTTGCTCATTAAAATAGTGTTCCATTCTTTCCCATCATTGCGTCTGATGTTCCAAATACCATAGGTCAGGGAAACAGTGGACAATAAATAAATAAAATTAACATTTGCATTACAAGTTTTACTTGTAAAATAAAATGATAATGCATCTAGGTCCCATGATTCCTCCATGCATGTTTGAGATCATGTTCTGGAAAGGCAGAAATGGAAGTGAATTTGTAAAGCCATGTTTCCAAACTTCATTCGAACTAAAAGGAGTCAGTTAGCTCAAGCATAGTGTGAATTGTATATACCAACTGTGTCCAGAATTAAGTATGGCTACAATTACAACTTGTCACCATATTTCCATTACTTTTACCATATGTTTTATTTTATGCTGTTGCTCATATAAACCACAATAAAAAAACATAATCACTGAACCATTTTTTACACAAAATTAGGTCAAACACTGATGAAAAAGGTGATTTTTAACCCATGTACCACGATAAAATGGTTTTGGCAGATCTCAAAATTATATTTCGGTACATGGGGTATAAAAACATACTCTCAGTTGTCTCATATTTTTGGGAAATTCTGACAAATACTTTTTTTTTTTTAATAAAATAATGCTTCAACATAAGTGTTTTCAAAAGGCTCAGTTTCCCTCCAACAAAATATTTAAAACCTGGGTTAAAAAAAGACTTGTGTCAAAATCAACAATTTCGCAACTACCTTAAATTTGAATCATGAACCACTATAAACATGATTTATGTTTTCTGTGTTTGATAAGTTACCTATTAGTATAATAATTAGTTATAAACCATTATAGCTATTAATCATACAGTACTTACACATATGAATGATCAATTTACATAAATGTAATAAATGTCTATAGCTGTACTTTATAACAGTTTTATTATTTACTTGCATGTAAATATTATATTTATTTACCTTATGAAGAAAGATGCTAAATTGCATTCAATACTACAAAGAAGTAAATTACCTAAAACCACCACCTTACCCACTCTTGCTTACACCCAACAACCTGGTCGTTAATGCCAAAAAACCTCTGGGAAAAACACAGATGTATTCATATTCATGAGTTTATTCATTTCAAAAGGTTACATGCGATCTGAACATCACGATAATATTTTAATCCTCTTTGAATATTTTGCAGCTATACAGCCAACTGAAATGAACACTACCAACGAACCTGTATAGTCACTGCAAATGTGTGGAGAAAGTATGCATGTGTAAGACGGAGAGAGAGGGATAAAAACAAACACCACCCATACAATGAATATTAATAACCCGTCTGTCAGGTATATATTTATCATATTTAAGGATTGTGTTGCAGGGAAGTTGGACAGGAGATTTATTATCTTTTCACTGTAAGCTACACCAGAAAAAAATTGTCATGTTCTTACACAATAGCAAATATTAAGACAGCCTTTTCATGTTTTTACAGAATAGCAAATATCTAGACAGTAGTTTCATCATAAATCTCCAAAAGATGATAACGTAAGCATATGTTGAGATTATATCTCTTCTTTATTTGATTTACGTCTTAATTAACTTATTGTTAACTTTAATGCAGTCAGCAAATGTGAAACTTGGCAAGATATGTCTGCTTCGTTAAGCAACTCTGATTCAATGCATTGGGTTTCCTTTTCAATCAAAGCAGGGATATGCGACAGGTTTCACTTTCAATTTCAATGAAAAAATTATTTCCTTTAAAATTAGGATACATTCAGAAATGTGTATAAATAAATGCCTTTATGCCCGCCAGTGCACCATAGGCACCAAGTTCTTTGGACTTTATAGTGAGAAACTGAAATTAGACGAATAGTAGGTAGCAGAGAATGGCTGTTCCCTCATTTCCTATAATTTTTGAAAGTGAGAAGTTTTTTTTCTACACAGGAAACAATTCAATTTAATTATGTAAAATGAGACAATACAATGCATAATCACTTCCAGGTAAAATGTATTAAACCATAGACAGTATAGTAGGAAGGACGCGCAACTGCGGCAAACATCAAAGTGAAACGCTGGATGCCCAACGCAAGCTGGACTGAAATATTCTAATGAGCATGTAAACAATGACGTCATATTTACTTCGATGCGATGTCACTACCGTAAAAACTCGATTAATTCGCGGTAGTAAAAATAATTATTTTTTCAAGTGCACGAATTAATAGCATAAAAACGGAAATTATTGGTTTTTGGTGCGCGAATTAAACGAGTACTTTTAGATTGATTCAAAAAGAAACTGCTTTCATAAATTTATTTGTGATTTGTTTTGTTTTCCAATGAACACGATTACA